GGTTATGGTCATATTTCAACATCCAACCTAGTACGTTGCTTAACACAGTCTTATCATCGAGAATCTTACGATAATAATTAATATCACGGGGGAACAATATTCAAGTTTACCAAAGGAATAACTTGGCTGGAACGATAACGGGATTCTCATTAACGTGTTTCTCAGCTAAACGTTCTATCATCAAAGAGGTTTGAGAAACGCCGACCTATTTTGCCGTTCCTACTGCCTCTCCTCTCTCCATTCGAACCCTTGCTTCATTTTCACACCAAAGAATCTGAGAACGTGAAGAATAACGAAGTCCCTCTTCCCGTCGCTTACCAGGTCATCCTCAAACTCGTCGCCGTCCGTGTCCGAGTCCGAGCGACCTCTCAGCTTTCGAACTTTCTTTTTCACCTCTTTCTTCACCACCCTCGTTATCGCGTTTTCCGGCTGCGTGTAATCGTTTACCATTTGTTAGAAGAAAAGTCTACTTGAATGCTAACAACCGACCGAACCGGACATCGACTAGCCGCTGCTTACTGGGATGAGAACGACTAGCGGGTTCGAGAACTGAGCGACACGTTCATCTTTAAATCCTTTTAATACCCATCCATCTCTTGCAAACTTGTCAGAAATATCTTGGCATTTTTTTTTTTTGGAAGGGAGGGAAATTATTAAAAATTACAATTTTAAGGTTATAAAATTCTTACGACCCAAATATAAAATTACGGTAGAATATTAAATTATAAAAGGATAACGGTTTTCGGGAGAGGATTAAGAATTATAATTTTAACACTAGGTTTACGGGACGCGTCATTCTGACGCATTTCGAATTTCAAAAAGAAAATTACGAAAACCGTTTACATTTCCTCTCCTACCACTGATGCTTATTATAAATTTTATATAAATACAATAATATCATGTAGTTTCATTTATAAGTTAATAGTGTATATGTGGTTTTTAAATAAAATAAGTTGTTTTTTTAAAGAAAATCTGCGGTTTCATTCACGCGTAAATCTGACGCGTGGCCGTAGAGATAGGTATATAAGAAATGTCCGTAAACCTAGTGTTAAGATGATAAAAATCTCATGACCCAAATATAAAGTTACAGTAGAATAGTAAATTGTAAAAAAGAGTAGCGGCTCTGTCAAATTCTTAATGCCTTGATTTTCTGGTATATTTATACCTATTGCTTTGAAGAGTAAATGGAATTCTGTTCCTTTAGTCAAATAATTTGCCAGGATTTTTCAGCACATTTCAGGCAAGTGACAAAGTCAATCTTGATAAAAGATGATAATTTTGCATAAAAAGTAATTTACATTATTGATAGCTCTTTTATTCATAATATGTAACTTTTTGTTTTTAAGATATGTAATAGGCTTCAATAAAACTGCAGAAAGGATTATTGTATGTTCTATGTTTTGCTTACAAAAATATTTGATTTACTCAGATATGTCTGGCATGTTCTGTAAATTTTGAGATAGGTACTAAGAGGCTCAAAGAGCTTCAAATTGTTTTACTTAAGAAACAGTTTTTTCTGAAATATTTAATTAGGAAAATAATGAAGTAATATTCATTCAGACATTGCTTAAGAAAGTGTTTAACACCTAAAGGAACGGTTGCGAGATTTTTCCTGTTATGGAACCTCTTGGAGACTTTCTGTTTTCCTTGTTTGTTACATGAAATTAGCTGGGCTAATGGTATTTAATACGTATTGGAAAATATTTCAAGAAACTATATTTGTAAGAATTCTAATTATTCTACATTTTTTAAGTAAATTAACTCCCTTGTAGGAAAAAGTATAGGATCTCATTAAAAAAAAGAAAAAAATAATATAATTCCATTCTTCACATGCACCGTTACATTTGCACAAAAAATTTGATCATAATAACATAGAATCTATTAAACTATTCAATTTTTCCTTGTATTGTTTTTTTTATTTTCACTTAGAAAAGACTTGTATGTATCTCATTTTATAGATTCACTCTGTATACATATTGATAATTATAACTGATAACTACAAGAAAATGTAAAACATGCATTAAAGTTTGGCATGAAATAAACAATCAACAATTTGCAAATTAAAAAAAAAAAACTGCTTATCTTGTGTTGTTGGATTTAATTTTACCTCATACAAAAAGAGCTATCTCTTGAGTGTTTATTTATTGAAGGATTTTTATGCTTTTTTATATATAAATTTAGAATTAAAACACCCCATTATGATGATTTATAAGGAAGCTTGTTAGTAATAATACTGAAGTTTAAAATAGCATTGAATTAATTTAAAAATACCACAAAAAGTGTTACCAATTTTAGAATAATGATGGAGAAAACATGTCCAATCCTTTAGGTGTTAAGAAAAATTCAATCTCTTTAATGTTTACAATCTAAAGGAATTCTCAAACAATGAATTTTATTATACTATAATATAATTGATTGTAAAGAAAAATAGTTTAAAAATACATTGATTTTTGTTTAAGAAAAAATAAACAGTTTAACAAAAGAACACTAACGATTATATACATATAAGTATTGGAATTTTTTAAATTTTCAATTTGTAAGAGAAGCTTAATTGTTTACCAATTCGGAAGGTGTATCGCTTCTTTCTTCGCCTATGTAATAAAAGTAATAAAATGACTACGTTTAAATGACTACACGCTACATTTTTCAGAAATGCAACTTAAAATAGCAATACAACTTTATTATTTACTAAAAACGAACTACTCACTATTATCTATAATTGTAGAGGTCAAATCATTTCCAATAAAAATGTCTATCATAATAAATATTCCTAATTTGCAATGATTATTCGCAATCTTTTTTTGATAAAATGTGTCTATCTAAAGTAAACAAATACACATACTGTCAAAACATGTTGTTATTCAATCTTAAACCATTGCGTAATTGCATAACCGTTAAAATCAGAAAGTTGAAATTGACATTTTATTTGCTTCCGTTCACACTTTAAATTAATGAAATATTTAAACATTCTTTTACTCTATCTCACGAAGAATTTAATCTTATGTGATAGCTTCTATTTGAACGTTAGAACAACTATTAATATCCCAACCTTACCTCAAATTTATCCTTGATACAACTGCAACATATAAAATTACCATTTTTTTCGAAGAAAATAAAACACGCATGCGATTATGCATAGTTATCATACCCTATTAAATTAAGGTTAATAATTAGGAAAACAACAGGTGAAACGAAAAAAATATCCTCTTCCTGGATAAAAGATATTCCTAGATGCATCTTGCAAACCGCTGAAGATAATTTCGTAAGAGACTACACCTAAACGGTTTTTCCAATCCCATTCACTCCCCAGAAGATGATTATCCATTCAATCTCTATATTTAGTCAAGTCAAATTTCACCTGGCGACCACACGTCGCCTCGACTTCTACGCGTTTCCCGTTTTCTCATTGAGAAAAAAAATCTCTATGCGTCCCGTGGTAAGAATGGGAAAGGGATAAAAAAAAATGACAATTCGAAACACCTAATTCCGAAGATCCTAAAATTAGTCACATTTACACGGTTGACAGATGTGTTGAAAACTCATAGAGAAAAAGACGACGAAGAGGCAATAAAAGTATACGCGAATGCGACTGTGTCAAGGTGAAGGTGCGTCTACAACACCAACTGCTCGGTGAAAGCAAATGGAACATCCACTTGGTCGTAACTGTACTTCGAATCACATATCGGAAGTTGGAATATTAAACTTTGTTTAAAAGAACGAAATATAGAATACCGTGTTATTATCTCTCACGTTTGCTTCCTTTGTTGCATTCGTTACTTGTTATAATACATGAAAATATTACACGAATGCGATAATTGATTTCATTTTTTTCTAGTGATTTTGAATTCAGTAACTGTAGTTAGATTCTCTACAGAAATAGGAATTTATAAATTCTTCATACGAATCGTTAAAGATACCGAATTTAAAAAAAAAGATATTTTTATTGGTGATATAGTGAAAATTTTGCAAAAAATTAATTACTAATATACCCGATGCCTAAACAATTACACTTTGTGAGCAGTACTTAGAAAAATATACAATTACTTAAATAAAAATAATATTGTGATAAGTATAAATATGTCTTCAATGAGCGATATTAAAATACAGAAAACAATTTTATTCGTACGTTAGTATGTTCTGCAAATAAAATATCGTCTGAATAATACTATAAAATAAGTGCAAAATTGAACACGTAGTCGAACGTAGCGAACCTACAAAAGTCGATGACATCAGCATCCGCCGTCACATCTCTCCCTAGGTCACTTTTTTATCGAGTTGACGTATACGCCAGAATTTAACAGGTATCAGTCACTCGTTTCAACTATCGTAAATATTTATTATGCGACATTAAAGGTAATTGAAAATCAAATTTTTTATGGATTCACAAAACTATATATACAACTGAAATATTCATCAGATTTTAAAACTCTATAAATACTTTTTTACTTGCAAAAGTGATTAGATAAATGTATACAACCATTACATTAATTTATCAATCATAAATTACATATTACGTATCTTGCTTCACGTCTTACGAAAATTTATCTCGTGAAAGCAACGATTTTCCACTTTTAAATTACATTAAATAATGATACCATTGGTGTATTATCTATACAGTATAAAGCAGTGGGTACTCGGAAGTCAATAATTACGGAGTATATTTCACTGAAGCAACTACTAAAGCTTTTAGATATTTACACTTTGGCCCCATTTTACACGTGAAAAAGAGCCATGTTGAATAATGTAAGGAATTACTAAGTAATTCCGATACGCTAAATAACCAGCTATCTTACCTTCTTGTACAATTTGATCCATGTCAGATCACCCTTATTGTCAGTGTACTGAAGTCCGAAGAACCACACCTCGCGCAATCCGATCGTTTTTACAACCTGGTCAAAGAGTTGCTTCCCGGTGGTCGTGTGCTGGATCGCGAACTCCAGTTCAGCGTCCATCGTCGTCACCCTGACATTCATCTTCATATGTAAAGAAAGAAAGAAAGATCTAAGATGTGAATTATATTAAAATAAATGGTGACACCTGGTAGGTAGTAGAACGCCACGTCTAATCCATTTTATTTATGTAAATTTCAGTTTTTCCTCTTAAAGAAGAAATAATTGGCAATTGATATTGAACGTTATCATAAAACGCTTACCATTTTAGCACCGGCAACCATGGCTGCGATGATACGTGAACGTGCACGCGAATTCAAATGAACGAGACGTAAACCGTTGAACGAACTGCGGTAATAAGTGGCTAGGTATTTCACGCCCGAATACGAATATATTCAACGGTACACTGTGAATTTAAGATGTACTGTTTAAACCAAACGAACGCTCAATATCATACGATTTAACCGTTCGACCGTCAACTTTTGCCAGTCTCAAGTCAGACAATGGGCTAAGGGGCAAGTGCAGCCTGCAGCGTCTATCCCCCCACTTTTCTCCCTTATAAGCAGTGCATCGTTGTCTCTCTCTTTTGGAAACATCGGCAGAGCCTCTAAGAGGAAGAGGGAAGAACGAAAGCGATCACGTGAGGAAGCCGGTGCGCACAGCCGGGACCAATCAGCATTTAGTCGAAATACCGGGTGTACGGAAAAAAAAGCAACTGTGTCTCGAAAACGGTTCGTGTTCACTGACTTGGCCATGCTTTTCAAAGCTATGAAACGGTATAAACTGATTTCACAGACTGCACTATATTAATCAGTATATGTTTTTCTTCAATTAATATGTGTTTTTTATTTACATCATATACAAAACTACTCTCTTCAGTAGCGAAAATAAATTATTACTGTTTGTAAATACGATTATAAAGGGTGTATCAAAATATTCGTCATCACAATTAAATAGGTACGTGCAAAAATATTAAGTTTCTATCTAAAATGTAATATTATTAAACTACTATAAATAGGTTAAAAAACACAGATATATTTACAATTTATTACATCTTTATTTTATTAATACCATCATTTATGACAATAAAATTAGTAACTGTATTAAATATTTGTGCATTTTTTCATATTTATATTATATAAAATAAATATGTTAATCATTGTTACATTTTAATAATTTATATTTCAAACTAAGAAGTAATTTATTTTCCACATAAACTTTAATAAAATATTTAATAGACAATTTTTACTACAGCAGAATATATAAAATTACATTACATGTTTTCAGCAATAAAAGATTCAAAACAAAACTAATTTTAAATAAAGTTTATTTTTTTATTTTACATACCGTCTTCGGCATTTTGGCAGCTTCGTCTTTCTTGTTAAATACCAAAAATATCAATCTGAAACAAAAGTTAATTGTAATCTATGAAACATATTATTAAACAATTCTGTAATACTAGGTACTGATTAATACTACAAAACATTCATTCATTTTTCTAAATATGATAAAAATAGAATATTACGTTGAAATGTGCTATACACTGAAAAAAAAATATTGTAGACAGGTCTCATTTTTAAATGTTGGTTTTAAAATTTATTATCTTCATTTTTACATTTTCAATGTAAATTAAATCAGAAAAATTGGTCGTTTATTAACGATATGTTGTAATGTCTTTCGTTATTTTATTAAATGTATAACAAAATGTATAATAATATTTACTGTATTGTAAAAGTAATTAATGAAGGCTACAAAATGAAAATTTAATTACTAAACAATATTACATAACAACAATGATGAATATATTTAAAATTATTACAAAATAAAAATTTTAAAAAAAAGTAGCACGTTTACAATCGAGAACTGCATACAAGTCTCCATATTGGAAGAAGAGACAGGTTATAATGTAAGTCCGCGTGACCGACATCTGCTGACAGCAAGGAGTGCCTGTACACTGTATCTAGCATTCCCTTTTTATCTAGGACCACTACATCCGTTGAATCATTGATATCTCCTAACTTTTGTCAGTGTCGGTACAAAAACTCTGCAGGACGTATCCGTCCAACTTTTCACGAAACATGAAGATAGAAAGTATCTATTAATAAAGTCTCCATTTCCGACTACTGCGTCCGAAGTCCAAAATACTCGTCACAAAATCTCTGTTTACGTGAATGGCAAAAACGCGTTTACTACTCACGATTACTACGTAAATTCGAAATTTTCATTTTGATTTCAAACATAATTCTAAGAGAAAAAAGCACGCGACGTGTACGATATGGTTCAAACATGAAACTTTCGTATCGAGGAACGGAAACATATTTAAAAAAAAAAAAAAATGTAAATACACAAGGTGTCATACGCTAGAAATTTCCACGCGACGAAAGGAATAAACGAGAGGAATATCATGATGTAAAAGGATTCGTGTTTCAAAATCTCTTTCAAGGTCGCTCATTGACACGAAATACATAGCATTTTAATAGTAAATTGTACATCGATCATAAATCTTTATTTCATAAACATTACATGTTTTTCTCTGATTTATATAAAATTAAGTAAAATACTTTTATATACATATTGGTACAACATATAAATTATCTTCCCAATCTAATACTTAGTGAAATAAGAATTAATAAAAAAAAAAAAAACCCGGAACTTGAAAGTCCAATTGTTATAAAAGATATGAAAAAAATTGAGTTATGCATACCAGTAGATAGCGTGAAGTATTATAACAAATTCCTAAGCTTAGCTAGAAATACGTGGAATTAACAGAAATCTAAGCTTGTATTCTGTCTCCGTTGTCTCGTTTTACTTTAAAGGAAAAACGGCGGCTAAACGATTCATAAGAGACCGGGTATTTCACATTCCAATTAAAGTAGCATTCATGCTTAAGTAACTGTAATAACATCAATTGTCTGAATACTTTGTTTTATGTAATAATTAATTATTCACCCACATTTACAGAAACTTATTTTTCATTGATATGTTTACTGCTTGGTTCTTCGTACGAAAAAAGGTTGAGACGTAGCATGTCACCTTCAAGGAATAAAATTATAAGGCAAATATGTTTATGGACCTATCGCCTAAATATAACACGTAAAAGTGAAGTGTCAATTGGAAGGAAAAACATCCATACTAAAAATTATTTAGAAATATTATAGAATGGTTTTATAATTCTAAGAAATAACCTTTATGTAGGTTAACAAGCAAAAGGTTAGTTCTTGAAAAAAATAGAAAAGAACTAACGTTTACATCATCATAAAAACATGTAACAATATTAGAACGTATAGTATTTTGAGGTTTGATTAAAAAATAATTTGTTGCAAGATTTATAAAATACACTTATGTATCTGCTTAATACTAAGCAACAATTCGATGTGAAGAACTTACATTATTGTGTTTATAAGATATAATTCCTATAACACATGTGCCACACATTCACGGTAGACCGGTGGCACTTACACTTGCACTATACTCGCGACAGAAAACGACAGGAAATTCTATGATCCACACCCAAAAATCCTGTCACCTTCAGACAATACTGACACCTCACTGATAATATGGCTGCCGCCTGCCCACCAGTTCACTCAATTTTCTTAAGAGAGGGGATAAATCGTAGAGTAGATATTTGATATAGATGAAGCACTCTGTAATAAAAATAGTAATTGACTTTTAAATACTGTCATGAAATACATTAAATCTTTCCTCCAATTTCTGGATCTTTTTTCATACATTGTATATATTTTTCATTTTTGTTAAATTACTTTGAATTTAATACTGCTATAATATTGATTTTAAAAACTTTTTTAACACAATTTACTAGTTTGCAAAGTACTACGTGTACTCTCAACCTATATACTAAATTAAAATATTGTATAAATATTTAAAGATCTGTAGTC